AAGGTTTCTCTCCGATTCATGAAAATGATGGTGAGGAAACACTTCCACCAAGTAGATTTGAAGCAGATGGCAAAAGGTCTAAACAATTGAGACTATGATTACGGCATCCCTTTTCATAGTTCTGAAATTGTTTAGACACACATGCATGCTATATAAGGAAAGGTGTATGATTTTGATAAAGTTTTATCAAAGCATCTCGTATCAGAAATATGAACTTTGGTAAGAAAGTCAACAAGTAGTAGAACAAGCCATATGAGTCGAAAACGCATTTGGTAACTCGATGTTATAAAACGTGTCTTTGTGTATGATTCAACAAGTAGTAGAACAAGCCATATGAGTCGAAGTTTATCCATTCCTTTTACCTTCGGGATAAAACCGATATCTGTGGGCCCCTCGATGATTTAGCGATGACACATGTGAGTGCTTGGCCAAGCCAGGACTGATTTGATTTGTTCAATCAGTCAGTCATCATAAATCGAAAATCCGGAAACAACAAATGGACAGAGAGAATGATTATAATCCATGTCTCAGTCCATATGATATCTAGAATGGAGGAATATATGATCCCTTATCTAATGGACAAGTCATTGACAGAGGTCAGAGTTCATTGACAAGATCAGAGTTCGACAGCGGGTTTAAGAGCTACGATTGCCAGTTGGTTTTTGAAGTCATACTCAATAACAGTTTTAGACTTATCCAAGTGGGAGACTGTTGGATTAATGTCTAAGTCCATACTATTTTGGTATGTACTTGACCCGACCCGGCATAGTCCATTTGGGTTGCACTTCACCGACACAATTTATATGGATAGTCTTTTGAGAATAGTATATTTATGATTTATATTAATATATTATAAGTTCTAATATATTAATATATAATCATATTATTTAATTAGTATTGATCAAGAATTAATTTATAAATAATTAAGTGATCAAAAGGAACTAATTAAATATGGACTCTTAGATATATATATTATATATATATATATATATATTTATATATTATAATATATATATATATATATATATATATTATTATATCTATATATATGTGTGTGTGTATGTGTGTGTGTGTAGTGGGCCAAGTTCATTTAGGTTGGGCTAAGTCTTCATGGATAGTCCATGGAGCTTTAACCCATGGATCATAGGAAATGAAAGGTCATGGGTATTAGGGTTTAAACCTAATCCTCCACACTATATAAAGGGTCTTATGGTTCATGAAATTATGCTAGTGGCTAGTGTGGATACACTAAAGAGGGCAATAACCGATTTCATAGTGTGAGCCAAGTATCCATGTTCTCTAAAGGCTTTCCAAGGTGTTTTGGTGATTTGTGATTCCACTTGAGGCTTCCACACTATTGGGGCTAAGCTCTTAAAGCTTGAAGACATCAAGCTACATCAAAAGGTATGTCATCTAACTAGAACTTTGTAGTATAGGTGCTTCATAATATGCTAGTTAGGATGAAACCTTGGAATATTTAATATTTGCATGTATAATAGAGAAAACATAGATCCAAGGTTTATAGGGTTGTATGTACACCATAGGAGTGTTAGAATGCTGAAAACCTAACAAGAGTTATGATACACTGATCTTGGGTTAGAGATCTTGATCTCTTTGGGTGTCTTAATGGATAATTTGGAAACTTTATCCATTTAGACCATAGTATATACCAGATCTGAGCTTTGGAGCTCTTGGAATCGAAGAAAACAGCTTAATCCATTGTTGGAAACCCAGTGCCCGTGGCGTGGCCATAGGTTGCCACGACGTGGCGACTTGGAATTTCCCGTATGTTTGTCTGGGTGAAGGCCAAGACGTGGCCAAGGAAGGCCACGACGTGGCGGTTGGCTAAAGTCAACTCTATCCATTGAATTTGACTATTGACTTTTTCCATGGGTTAACTTTTCGTCAATCTCTTTATTTAGAAGGTAGACTTAGGGTTTGCCTTGTGTGGATTGTTAGGAGGTGTTTAGCACCCATCTTTTGGCGGTAAGAGTTGTTGGCTATTGTTGGTGCGACATTGCGTGAGGTTTTAGTCGGCATTGTGATTCAGGTGAGTCTCCTCACTGTACATAGGGGTCGAAGGCACCAATGCCGATCCACTGGTTTATGTTATATATGAAGACCAGGGGGTGGCCCCTGACATTTGTATGAAAGACCTGAAGATGGCTCGCGAAAAATTGTTTGCAAGACTAGGGACTGGACCCTGGAAGTTATATATATATAATATGCTAGTTGTCTTTGCGATACTTGCATGGAAGACCAGGAGGTGGCTCTTGACACTTGTCTGTAAGACTCAGGGTTTTGGCGCCTAGGCCCGACAAAGAGAGACCAAGATACTACTCATGGCATAATAGCAAGACTATGGTTGACAAAATAGCAATCTTTATTATATGTATGATATGTGGTATTTTGGGGAACTCACTAAGCTTTGTGCTTACCACTCTATGTTCTTGGTTTCAGGTACTTCCGATACGAAAGGGAAGGGCCTGACATGGCTGCACATCTTCCCCTGACGTTTTCTGCATTAGTTTTTTATAACTTTTACTCTGATGTTTAAATGATGTAATTACTTTGGTTGGTTTTGGAACAAATCGTTTGTATTATTTATTGTTTTAAAAATGAAAATTTTACTATGACTTTTTGGGACGTTACACACTTGGTATTATTTACTTGACAATGAAGTTTATTTGGGAATTGTCACAAATGACAATGTACTTTTTCTTATATCTAATTTTACCCCCAAGCTAACCTTTGATGTTGATTTGTTCTTTTTGAGAAAGTACGGGTTTGTACATTGGTGTATGCACCACAATGTTCATTCATAAACCGTCTATAACGTCTAACCCTAGGATTGTACTCACTAGGCTTCCCTATAGCCTAACCTACTTATTGATAAAATGTTTCAAGTTAGTAGAGATTGGTAGAAGCTTAGGAGACTCATAAGCTTTGGATATTTAGAAGACCTTTGATTTGTAATATCTTCTTAGACCCTTGTTTTGATATATGTTTTAGCACTCTCGCATGATTTGTTGTATTAAACCACTAAATGGGTTTGGAAATTTTTAAATGGGAGCGTTATTCGTGTTTTAACTTTGCAAAGTATTGAATTAAACTTTGGAAATCGTTTTTCCTGCAAACTACAACTCTAAAATTATTTTGAAAGATTTAGTTAAAGGCTAATTCAAATAGGCCTATGCGAGGGGTGTTACATTGTTCTTGTTTAATTTTCTTAGCATACTCATCTATATAATTGTCATTGTATTTTTCGAGGCTGCATCTTAACCCAACACATAAAACCGCGAACAAAAAATAAATAAATAAACTTGGGTGAAAACCCTTTTGGAAAAACCAGATAGGAACTCTTATTTATTCTTGTAAAATCGACAGTGGAGGGAGGTTACAAGAAGGATGAAATCACCAAGGTAATATATAAGGGAAAGAGGCTTCTGAAAGGTTTGAATGAAAAATAATGAAATCTAACAGCCTTATTTGTAGCCTTACAAATATTGTCCTAAGGGTGGACAATATCGAGCGGGAAGGTGATGAGGATGCTAACATCGCCCCATATGTCCCGTTACTTAAAGGAGAAATCCATTTCCGAGAAGATCTCCTCGAGCCTCCCTCTCCTTTTTGTCGTCTTCGTATTGTACCTTGTGCATCAGTAGTTGTACCAAAAGCTGAGGAATGGGAGGCATACTAGCTAGTGAAAACTATTTCCATGTGTCTAGGGAAGAAAGGTAAAGAATGAGAAGAAAGAACAAAAGTTATGTGTGGGCTGATTATTATTTCACCGAAGGGAGAGGTGATAGTTATTGGATACCCATCAGGCCATCACCCTAAGCATTCTCTATAAAGCATAATAGTTTTTTTTGAACGGCAAACAAAAGATTAGAATTAAAAAAAGACTAAAGCGAGAGGCTCAAGTCGAATTATAAGAGAAGTTTAACATAGAAGACATAAACCAAACAAACCAATCAAGTTTTGAAAATTTTGGATCTACACTTAATCTAAAAAAAGTACTAATGCATAATAATTAAGAGTAAATTACACGAATGGTCCCTATGGTTTAGGGTAATTTGCACGTTTGGTCCCTAACTTATTTTTTTAACTCGGAAGGTCCCTACTGTTTGTTTTTGTTACGCGCTTGGTCTCCATCTTAAAAAGACTATTTTGCCATTGATTTTTTAATTTATTTAAATAAACACACCCCTAAGCCTACCCCCCGCACCTTACCTTGCCCACCCCACAATTTTCCCTATTTAAATAATAGTCTTTTTAAGTAAGACAGAGACCAAGCGCGTAACAAAAAGAAACAGTAGGGACATTCCGAGTTAAAAAAATTAAGTTAGGACCAAGCGTGCAAATTACCCCAAATCATAGGGACCATTCGTGTAATTTACTCTAATAATTAATTAGGAAACTTTGCTAACTAATTATAAGAGCATCTACAATTGTGAGTTTAATATGAGACTTATTGAGGTGACAAATATAGTTGTCATTCAATACATTAAACCCTATCGATGCCACCTTGACATTCATTGGATTTGAAGTTCAATGACCATTGAACTTTTCAATAGAAAAAAAATAAAGTTTTTAATCTTAAATATATATTACAAATTAGCTTTTGTAATTTTGTATTGAATTTTATAGAGATTAATGTATTTTAAGAAAAATTGATAGACATTCTATTGTACTCTATAAAGTTCAATGCACTATAAAGTTCAATGCACTGTAGATGTACTAAGTTCTAAGTTGTTATAACCAAGTAATAACTCTCTCATAGATAATATTTTTGGAATTCACATAAAATAGTAAACAAGAACTAGCAATAAAAAAATGCTGCATAAAAATGGAAACTAAGCATAGTCGAATACACTTTGAGAATATTACAATTTTACAAAGGCTGCATTATGCACCAACACATTCAACACTCTACATCGTGGTATGAGTTGAAATTAAGAAAAATAGTTATAAGCAAGCAAACCACAAAGACCAAAAAAGATTTGAACACCCATTTATTCGTCAAATTAAGCCTGCTTTTTTCATATGAACAACAAAAATGGCCTTCCTTTTTTACATTTCCATTGTTGTCCCTTATTTCTTTTCACAAAAAGTTAGGACCAAACATGGCATAACAACAAAGAGGGAGAAATAGCAATCAGAATTTTACATCAAAAGGGAAATCTAAACAAAAAATAACTCCAAATTTATGCATGGCCTACAAAGTCATCTTCTTCCAACTCGATGCCTTCTTCAGCAAGCCTACGCTCCTTGTAGACATAACCTTTTGCCACAACCAGAAATATCCCAAAGTTCACGACGCTTAAAATTGCAAGTAACCAATAGAAGTTGTAAAGCCTCCCCTGGTTCAAGTTATCAGCTATCCATGGCTTCTTGTCTCCTGTAATCTTGTGAACTATTGTCACCAAAATAGAGCTAAAGAAGAACCCTAATGATAATGTGCTTAGAAACAATCCAGTGCTCATTGTTTTCATCCCTTTTGGGCACTCCCTTAAGAAGAAGTCAAGCTGTCCTATGTAAGTAAACGCCTCACCGGCACCCACTAATACAAACTGCGGAGCCAACATAAAGACTGTTATTGGGACCACCTTAGAGGGATCATCTACTATGCCATGAGACCTAGCAACTCGTAGTCGTTTGATCTCGCATATAGCAGCTGCAACCATGGCCAAGATGGATAGGACTAGTCCTATTCCTATACGCTGTAGAGGGCTTAGCCCTTGTGGGTGTTTGAGATACCGTTTGGCAATTGGAACAATGATCCGGTCATAGATTGGCACCGTTAAAAGAATGCTTCCTACAAAGAAAACTGTAAGGGAAGCGGCAGGGATCTGAAAAGAGTTTCCGATGTGTCTATTCATTGTGGTAGCTTGTGACACAGAGAGTGTGGTCATTTGCGCATAAACTGTCCAAAATAGTATTGTGGTAGCCCAAGTTGGTAACATTCTGATCACCATTTTTACTTCCTCGACATCAGTTAAAGTTGAAAGATTCCATTTGTCGACCGTAGCTAGTGATTCGAATGATCTTTCTCCGTCTTTAATTGCTGCCTTGTCAAGGAAACTGCCAAAAATAGTAGATCAATCAATAACAATAAAAAGAATATATATGGTCAAGTGAAGGCCACAACTGTTACTAACTATAGTACTTTATTTTTATAGTCAAGATTGATCACACGATTGTCTAAATCTCTTCTATAGTGTCTATATATCATGATCAGCTCTAAGACGTGTTTAGCAAATATGGATGTAATATTTTTTTTGCATAACTAATACGATCAATAAAAGTTTTTCAGCAGTTGGAGTTCCATATCTGCTGATGGTTGTCTTTTTAGTGCATGATTGATTAACTTTTATTCTTTCTTTAGACGTCTTTTTCTATGTCTAAATATAACTTGGCCTTGTTTCACCGATAGGAGACAAAAGGGTGTGAATATCTACAAAACTTTGGCTAGGGTTAGGGTTACAAGACAGAAACTTGGTTTTCACATTATACAACTAGCATCAAGAGATTGATTGAAGACAGACTGTACGTTCGATCAGAACCTCGTGATCTTGATGGTGCACTATTTGTTATCAATAGCACAATCAAGACAGATGCATGCACATGTATGTTTAAAAAAATCTAAAACTTAAATGATTAAGATACTCATAAATCATATCATATATAATAACAATATAATAATCGTAACTTTTACAATATATCCAAGAAAGATCGATAGATATTTGGGTTTCTGTTTTCCAAGGTAAGCTTTCTTTTCGATGGACACCATTTGCGATGGTAGGTAAAATTAAGAAATATGAATGGTAATTACTAATTAGATTATATATATATACGAGTATATTTTTTATCGCAGGGTTATGCAGTCGGTGTATGATAAAGTAGTAGAAAGTGATATATCAAGAGCATTAATGTTTGTCCTTAAATAATTGGCATTGACGCCTAACAGTGTTGAAAGATGCAGACAACCACAAAGTGCGTGGTTTCAAAATCATTGAAAAGGTGAAACAATATAAGGAATCTTTTTGGGTCTTTAGATAATCTGTAGGATTCTAAGTTATACTTTTAATTATGATATAAAATTATTAAAAAAAACATAAACAAACAAACTGAAATAGTTAGCTTTTACCTTTCTGTATATACTTGCTTTTAGCTTTTTGTTTTTGTTTTCAAACCTCATAAACTTTGAATCTAATTATTAAGCATTTAACAAACAATAAATTAATTTTTTTCATTAAGTTATATATTTTTTATGAAGCAGAACAAATAATATCTTAAGTAAATAAAATCCATGCTAAAACAAAACTGGTTAATGTTTTTTAATATATTTTGTAGGCAAGCAAGAATTATTGGTATAAATAACAAGGAATATGGTGGCCTAGGATTGGCTTATTATTCTAGTTGCTTGAGTTATGGACAAAAGATGGCACCCACAAGTTTTGTTGGCAAATTTGAAGAACAAGATCAATCATTCGTGGATCTTATTGCCAATTGGCCATATTATTCAAAGTATATTTTCATCTATTATTTTCATCATTGATTGCCAAAACATGGGACCCATCATAAGCTTAACTCTTAATGATCTCCACATGCTCAATTATGCACGTCATCGTTTAAATAAAAGTTTGAAAATTTGAAGTTAAATACCTGTTTTAGTTTGAAAATTGAGAAAAAGCTAACTTCATAAATAAACTTTATCCTAAATAATTAACTAGTAATAATATATTTTTTCATAAACACTCAATCATACCATATTGAGAAGATGAGAGTCGACTATGTTTCATATATTGCATGTTAGATTTATCTAATAATATGTACATTCTTTTAATAAGAAAATGCATCAAATTAAGTCAAGATTCTTTATCATCTAAAGTTTAATAATCAACCGAAAAAGAAAACTAAAACAAAGGCCAACTTGTAAATATAGTTTGGATAATATTTTATTTATGCTAAAAGGAAATTAAGAATAATCTCTTTTATGCAAGAACAAATGTTGAAATTACTTTCTATTGGGCACACATATTCTCATGTCTCATGAACCTTTTCAATAAATAAATTAATAATATTTACCACGGCGGAATTTATCATCCATTAAAAACAGAAGCGAAATCTAGATATAAAGACAAATAAACAGAAAATGAAAAGGACTCACCGATATTCTTTGCTGTGTGGCAACTTCTGCTTGCTTTTCTTGCTATCAGCTCCTTCGTTAATTACAATATCATCCACGTTGAACAATAAGGAAGGATCCGAAGGAAGCTCCATGTGTCTCTTCTTCCATGCCACCACGAAAACCGAAGCTATCTGTGTTAAAGGACTACCCACAAGCTTCTTGAACCGATACCTTTTTGTACCCAACAAGAAGATCACCAACCCCGTAACAATGACACAAGCCACGATCCCATACCCCCAACGACGACCAAGATTGTCCTGGATATAAACAAGAACAGTAACTGCCCCAAGCGACCCGATACTTATGAAGAAGAAGAACCAGCTGAAGAAAGCGACCATTTGGGTCTTTTCCCCTTTATCGGACTCATCAAACTGGTCTGACCCAAAACCCGAAACACTTGATTTCAGTCCACCTGTCCCCAGAGCTGTCAGGTAGAGTGCAAGGTAGAGAAACGTCAGCTGGACCTCGGTAGCCTTAGTACATGAGTTGCCGCTGTCAGGGGTGCATTTTGGTGGTTTAAGGCTAGGGATGGCGGTTGTGATGGTTAAAAGTGTTACACCCTGTTAATTAATCATTACAAAAATAAGTAAAAGTTCAGACTACGAACATATAGTTTAATCAGTAAATGTATATGTATATCACTCTCACCGTTGCTTGAACTGCTGCGAATATGGCAATGGTGAGGTACCTATAATTAAACACACCCATAACATAAAATGAGAAAAAATTATATTTACTCAAAGTTTCATATAAGGAATCAATTGGTTGATATGAGTAATTACCGGCCAAGAAAAGTGTCAGCGACAAAACCTCCAAGAAGACATAACATGAAAGAGGTACCCAAGAAATTGGTGACATCATTGGCGGAGCTAGCATTTCCAAAATGCATCGTCCCGGTCAAATATGTCACCAAATTCACAGCGATACCTAAAGTCGCTAACCTTTCACATGCCTCCACTCCTGAATAGACGATACTTCATTTTAGATTATCTTAATCTTAATCATAATCATTAAAACAAGAAATGGAGCAGGAAACCAAGAATGATGCTTCGAAACCATATCAACTGAGTTTATAATGAAAGAAATGGATACAGAATAGGACAGGAAGGGTGATGAACCTAGAATCATGGCGGCACTAATCCAGCCACCGGTGGTGGCACGGTGAGCCGGCTGACCCTTGTAGTCCCAAGCATCACTTAGAGTTTTTGCTACCTGTAATTCAGGGAGAGCCATATTATATCTTGTGATATATTTTGGTTGCTTCTGTATAAAATGTTAGTATATGCTGCTTAGGATTTGAAGGTGGGGGGGAAAGATCAAAGATATTGGGGGGGATGAGATGCTTAATATTCCATAAATTTTAGGCAATACCGAGGGGCCTTTTATAGCAATCGATGTGTGATCATATCTAATTATATTATTATTGATTATATCCATTTTTATGGCATTATATTATTATTGATTATATCCATTCCTTTTATAGACAGCATTAATTTTCTAATTTCTATGGCATAATATTATTTGTAAAACGCTTCATGTATATATCAGGTCGATGTATATTCATTCAATAGAAATAGTATAGAGAACGTGATCCAAATCGATACCATTTGTTATTTTCATTGCTCATAATATATAGAAAAATAAATAATTTTAACATCAATTTCTTCTAGAGAATTCTTATAATTAATTTTCAACGAATGAGAAAATAGATTTTAATAAAAGAAAGTGTTACATATTCATAGTCGACACTCCAGATAGGAATGGTTTCGGTTTCTTCAGCTATATCATTTGGATAGTAATTTGATTAGAATGGTGATGATAATAGGAAGCAAAACAAAATGCCAAGAACACAATATATATATGTGGAAAACCTTATGGGGAAAAAAAATACAAGGCATTACACTTCTTGTATATATAAAATTCATGATGCGAAGGGTTTACATACTAGTTATAATAATCGACAATATAAGGGAGTAATAGGAGGTGATATGGAATAATTGTGCTCAAATTTCACAAACTTCATTAAGTTCATTTGTACGAATTAGATAATTCGATTTTGACATTGCATTATTTTTTGTCTCAAATTTGATATTTTATTTATTAATTTGTTACAACTCTGATTATTTGACTTGATTAATCAGGTTTCATGATGATATAATAAGATGATATGTCACTTTTGATGACATCACATGCTCACAGTACATGCAGAAGTGTTAAAGTTGAAAAAAAATATATCAAAAAAAGACACCAAATGATCATTTATTATTATTTTTTTTTTCAATTTTAACACTAAGTTTTTTTATTTTTTATTTTTCAATTTTTACTCCACTTTTTTGTTCTAAATCAAACTATCAATTTTTTTTCAATTTTGTTCAATGTTGTCACTTCATTTCGTTATTCTAAATCGAACATCATTTTTTTTTGTTTCAACTGAAATCGTATAAATAATATTTTAAAATGTATATATACATCATTTTTAATTTAAAAACCATATTTATTGTAAAAATACAAGGTTTTTCACATTCAAAAATAATGTTATGTATAAATATGTATTAATTATATTATAACTGTATTTTACGTGCGTTATTTGGTTATGTGATATTGACGTTACATGATAATGGAGTAACACAAAATCCAATTTTGGATAATCAAAGAAAACTTAATTTGGATTTCATGCAAAATCTAAAATTCAGAAACATAGAATACCTTATATTGTTTTATGTTATTTGAGAGAAGATTTTTGCATAGTGTAACGCTCGTAGATCCGAGCTAGTAAATCTAGACATAATAGGGGTCGAAAACGACTTTTCGACAAAAGATTATTTAGAATAAATAATATTAATCAAGTTGTAGAATATGTCTCAAGGGTTCCGTACATATAAAGAACGCCGAAATTCAAGTTATAACGAAGAAGTTATGACCCGTCGAAGTTTCGCAACGGAACCGGCACGACACCGGGAAGCGTAAATAGTGAATTTACGATAGAGCGACTTTTAGCCTTAGCGACCTAAACGAAAGTCGTAGAATACGTTAAACCGAGAGCGTCCATAAAAAGAACGCCCAAATCTGACTTCGTATGAGGAAGTTATGATTTTTCGAAGTTTCGGCTTAGCAGTGTACAGCCCGAAGTTCGAATATTAGATCGAGCGGTTTTTTAGCCGACACAACCTAAATGAGAATCGAAGACCTCGTTAATAGTAGCATAACGATAAAAAGACAGACGAAAACAGACGTCGGATAAAGAAGTTATGAATTTTTAACGGACCAATCCTGTCCCGGCCTGTTAAAAATATAAATTTAAAATAAAGTCAAAATTAGCCGACGGAGTCTAAACAAAAGTTGTAGAGTACGTTCCCGCCTTCGCGTGGATATAAAGAACGTCAAAAACGCAACTCGTATGAGGAAGATACGAATTTTTGAAGTTTGGAATCGAAATCACGCAGTCTAATGCGAGATGGATGACGTGGCCTCATCGCAGCCGTCCATCGCTGATCGCAGAGCACCCTTCGGATCACGCCACGTCGCCTCGATTCGCCCTACGCCCCGCTTCCAAGGTTGGTACGCCCAGCGTACCTTCGGTCCTTATCCTCTTCCGAAGTACGAGACAACTGGACGCAGCTGGACCCTATCCGAAGCTACGCCCAGCGTAGCTGTGCTGAACGCCCAACGTTCGTCCGAGGAGTTGCGCCTATAAAAGGGCTGCGAAGGCTGCCGAGGAAATCACACCAATTCTCATTCTCTCTCTAATTTCTTTCTCTCTCTAAGATCCCAAACCACCCTAAACCCTAGGAAAAACCCCTAGCACCCAAAGGAAGCCCCGAGGCTCCCGGAGTCCCGAGAAAAAGGGTCTTTCGGTTCGGAAACGTTGCTCCAAGCGAAGCCCAATTTTCTTTAAAATCCGCTGTAAGTGAGCTACGCCTACGCAATTTTTTTATATAGCTTTTAAATAATTATAGTAATGTTATTAGGTCCTTAATATAATTATTTGGGCTATTATTATGAGTTATATTGAGTGTTATTTAACGCTTATATAATAATAAATAATAGCTAAACTATAAATTAGTCGCGGTTAACGTTAGACTATACCCTAGTGGTATTGATACTAGGTTTTGTCGAGGGAAAAATTATTTTGAGATAACGAAGCGTTGTTCGAGTGCCGAGTCACCACCTAATCAGGTGAGTGCATAGTCACTTTCATCTTACACATAGATATGAAGTATTTAATATAAATTACGTGCTATGTGTGCATATTGTCTGTATACTTGCCGTCTGTGCTCGGTGAAAGATTTTTATACATGTTTTAAATGATTTAAACTGTATATATGTATTTTATATCTACAAAATATGTTGGGTAAAACATGGGTAGATGAAATAGTTGCTATGTGACAAAAATATAATGATGAGAAGTGATATAGACCATGAGATAAGGGTGAGAGGTAAACCATGAGAGAAGCCTTTTACCCATGTGTTGGCCCCGTCATTCAGCAGAGTATGGATGATAACCACGAACTATTCTAGACAGTCCAGTGGACACTAGCAGGCTCGCAACCTGTAGGTGTTTTGAACTGTGTATTCACCAGGTGTACTCTAAAAACCCATTGACATGTATTGCGAGTGGATTCTCGGAAACGATATTGTCGATAAACAAACCCTGGCGACTATGAGACGTAGTGCTTATGCGACTTAGTGCTTATTGTATAAACCCTGACGACTATGAGACTTAGTGCCTAAAACCTGGCGACTATGCGACGTAGTGCCAATTGAGTAGACTCTGGCAACGATGGATTTCGTGCTGATTCCTTAGAATAATCCTCAGGAATAAATGAACGAGGAACAGTTGATTCTTAGGGTAGAATAAAGAAGATAATGGGGATGAGTAATTGGGTTGATTGTTTAATTGTTTAAACATAATAATTATATTATTGTGGGTTGAAAACCCTATGTACTCACCAGGTTTCCCAACCTGACCCACTCAGTTTATTTTGTATCACAGGTGTCGATATGAAGTTACCTTACACTGAGAGATTAAGGAGATGTAGATCACTAGCGATAATGAATGTAAGTTCGGTTTATGCTTATGTTTCTGTATTGACGATGACATCCCAAATGTTTTAAAATGGATAAAAATACATTTCTTCGGAAATGTTTTGATAACGTATTTATCATGTTTTCTAGGAACAAATTTTGCAACATTTTTATTAAAAGAGGTACTCTGATTTTTATAAAGCATAAACAAAATCGATCTTTTCTGGCCGTGAAAATGGGGATGTCACACATATTATTGTTAAGTGAAGAAAAAGTATATATACAAGAACCAAAAATTATGAATATTATACAACGAACGGTATGTTGGTAATTAAAGCAACCCCTAGACCCCCGTGTTTTCCGATATCATATTAGCTTATCTGACCGTGCACTTCGCACCTCGAATATCATATTAAAGTTGTGTATCTAATGAAAAATATTGTTAGAATACAATTAATACATATTTATACATAACATTATTGTTTGAATATAAAAAACATTGTATTTATAAAAAATATGGGTTTTAAATGAAAAAAATGTATTTATATGGTTTCAAATGTTAAAAAAACTATTTATATGCTTTCAAATAAAATATTGTCAACACTACATAGAATTGGAACAAAATAGAGTGTCGAAACTGAAAAAAAAATGAAAACTTAGTGTCAAAATTGAAAAAAATAAAAATTTAGTGTGTTTTGTGCATTTTTTTTTTCAATTTTGACATGCCAGCATGACACATCATCAAAATGACATGTCAGGAGACAACCTGGTTGACTGGTCAAGTGGTTAAAATTATAACAAATTGGTAAATAGAATGTCAAATTTGAGAAAAAAATAAAGCCGTGTCAAAATCGAATTTTCATGTAAACTTACTGACGTTTGTGGAATTCACCTAATAATTAATCTAATGAATAAACCCCTATGTCGATTTGTCTCAAGTGCTTCCCCAAGAAGGATATAAATATATTTGTATGAATCATACTAGATCTAACCATATTTAACAAGATTTGATTTCACTTCTCAAACGTGACATTCCATTGAGGCTGTTAGTGCATGTACATGATCATAACATATAGACAACTTTTCTAGCTTTTCAATTGATTATGTTTGAGTTTCACAAAAAAAAAGTGAGTGAACAGGATGGTCATTATTGTTGAATAACGTGTCTAAGTCAGTATCTAAATTGGTATATTCTTGTAATTATAAACAAAGTCCTTTTTAGATTGCCCTTATAACTAGAACTTGATTAGATTGATATTTATAAAGAGAGGATAATTTATTAAATTATTATATGATTGATAAACTAGTTGGAAATTATGACG